CCAAGCAGGCACTGCACCACTGAGTAAAATCCCTGGCTTTCCTTTTTTTAAAAATCTTGGTGGGTCAAAGCTTATGATATAAAACCCTCTCATAGCAAAACTGTATCTGTTATTTACAACTTTTTAATATTTCTTTCTCTACTTACTATTTGCTTTGTTTGGTTTGGTTTGGTATCAAGTTTAGCAGTAGCCTCTTGGATTTTAAAATGTTCCTAGCGTACATTTTGTGGGTCCATATTGTTTATACAGTATTTTCATTAAAACTGGCTGACCAGTACGTCTCTAGGCATCTTTATCTTAGCCCAAGCAGAAAGCAACAGAAGAGCAAAGCAAACCCATAAATGTATTCAAGAATTATCTCAATGTACAAGAAATGTTTTAAGCATGTCAATTAAACAAAATTATCAATTTAAATTGAAATCTGAAAGTAAATGTATCAGTCATCCTACATATACCCCATGGGCTCTTGTTAACGTTTTGAAGATTGCCAGGAAGGTTTCTTATTTCCTTTGGCTCCCTAGAGAGGAGTTACCGATTTTATTATCTCTTAGGACCCAGCGTAGGCTGTATGTCATTCTAGAGCCATTTTTTCCCCTCTGATACAGTATCTAGCTTTGTAAATCATTCTTATGGAACCTCAGCAATTACAGTCACAGCTTTTGTCTAGTGTACCAGTTTTTCTGATATTTAGGAGGCTAGAAGATCAATTTAGGTATGGAGAGTGGTAGAAGAACTGGAGCAACAGAAAGAATGAGACTCAGGAGGTAGCAAAGAATTACAGGCTGGACCCTTAGAACTCAGAAGTAACCAAGGCAAAAGATTTAGAGTGCAGAAAAGATTATGTGGCACAGTCATTATGTCTTTTTGCTGTACAAACATAAATCTAGCACAGGTAGGGAAACTGTATTGAGTGCAGCAGAGCCCACAATGTTCTGTCCCATGACCTAGTTATTTTTTATGGTGGTCTGGGAAATGGTGGATTCCCAAATGATCTTTAACTATCTGGCTAGTGCCCAAAAGAGTATAACCGAACAATTAAAGTGAGACAGATTGGGTGTCTTTTTTACCTCTTGGTTCAGCATGTCAAGAAAGGTGATTCATTTCCTCTAAGCCCTGTAGCAAGTTAAAGAAGTGATGTATCCAAGGACCACTGGCTGTGGAAAGCAGAGCACCAAGGGCGGAGATCACTGTTTTGCCAGCAGAAAGATCAAACTGGAAAGGAAAACTGAGGCAATAATGGGATGTTATTCCCTCCACTTGTGTGAGGGAGAATCATTAAGCCCACATCAGTGAATCCTGTCCAATAAGACTTCAAGGCCGGCAACCATGCTAATCATTTTTAATTGGTCATTGAGGTCCTGATATTGTTTTGAGCTGAAAGCCATAAAGTGAAAGCAAAGAATGTAGGAAAGCATAGATTTTACTTACCTCTTTTTGGAATCCCAGACATGTTCCCAAATATGTTATAGGAATGCTGGGGTCAGGTTCCATGGTGATAAAGAATGAAACCATGAACCAAGAAGTTAGAGTATAAACAAACTTTTTGAAAGATATAGAGGCAAGAAAGTAAAAGTAAATCTCCTACTATCCAGGAAGGGGTTCTGAGTAGGATACCCATGAAAGCTTTTTGTCTAAGGGTCTTTACAGGGATTAAAGGGAGCTTCAGCCATTGTGGAAGAAATATTATCTTTACCCTAGAGGGAACTACTAACTTTTTAGGATCTAATCTATGAAGTATTATGAAGAACCCATGCACCCTTGAGCCAATGGCCTATCTGATCATGCTTTGGGGAGGTCCCAGACAATCAAAGTATACCTGACAAAGATTTTGTAAGATCTCTAGAGGGTCATGTGTTGGCTACCCTTTTTCTTGTTGCTGAGACAAAATAACCAACACCCAAAGTTAAAGAAGAAAAGGTTTATTTAGCTTACAGTTTGTGGAGGTTTCAGTCCATATTCTACTGCGTTCAAGGCAGAGTGGCACATGGCAGAGGGGACAGTTCATGGCAGTGGAAGATAGAAAAAGCAGCAAGAGCACAAAGGGAGGAGTGTAAAGAGAAGACTCTTTCTGTCCCTTATAGTGTATGTTGGCTACCCACCCTAGGGTGAGTGTAGCACTCACACTCATAATACCAGCATTGGACTATGAATCAGTCACAAATTCTAGAAGCCTGCTCCCATGAGTGCATGAGGCTTGGGGGGAGGCAACTAGATACAAAGCATAACATGTCATGACCAGACTCCATTTTGGGGTTCCTTACTCTATTTTGAGCCTGCTATCTTCACCTCCTAATAGAATCCTAACTCTTATCTCACTATAAGTTATTACAAGACAATCATTTTTGGAAAAGTATTGCAGGTTTCGGTTTTTCAGTGTTCTCTTTAATACTTTGGTATTCAAAATCATTCTTTTGTTGCCTGGGACTATAGCTCAGTAGCAGAGCAAATGCTTAGGATGAGTTGGGGTCCTGGGTTTAATTCTTAGCACCGAAGAAGAAAATGGGTCTTCTTTATGATTTCTTTAGTTTCCTTTCTTCAGCTGCTCACTGAAACAACTCAACCAAGTTTTTATTCATAAAACAAATAAAATCCTACCATCATCTTCCTTTCTGATATCATTTGCATCCATTTTATGAAATTCTTTTATAATATCAATCCTGCACTGTGAAATAATTGCACATTGGATTTACACTGCATTTTCAGACTGTAAGGATGATAAATTAATCAGAGATTGACAAAGACACTGACATAGTAGGCTCAGCTAGATACTAATATTATGCAGCAAAGAATGCTTCAGTGGGGCCTAATTTTATAAGAGGTCACTTCATTAGAGAATTTTTCAAGTTCCCATGACTTCGGTTGTCTATGCAACCTAGCAACTGCATAGACTGGACAACAGATACTTTGAATAGCAAAGATCACTTCATCTATCATTCCACTTTCCTTTCAAGAATCTATGCACAGGGTTTTTACCTTCACTTTCTCTCTTATTTCCTACTATCTGGATTTCTGTAGCTCCATGTCCACTGTAATAATACACCACCACAAAGGTCTACCAATTGGTCTCAGAGAGACTCACCTACACACATCTACAGAATTCCCTAGAGTCTGCCTCAAATTTAACACATTAAATTTCTGAGGACATCTAAGGTTTATAATTTTGGTCAGAAGTTTAGTTCCAAGTTAAATATGTGTTTTTAAGAGCAAATAAGGAGTCTTAGTAAAATTTTTTAAATTACATAGTATAATCAATGTCTTTCTTACGACTCTCAGCAACAGAATGATCAGTGTTAGAACCTCTTTAGTGTGAATATGAACATAGTTGCCAAGCTGTAAATCAAGTAAATGCTATTGCCTATTTATGTTCAAACAGTTTTCTACTTATTTAGGCACCCTTAGTAGTTTTTTTACTTTTTCAATTTTAGATTCTGAAAACTTAGACCTAAGAATGAAATATTTTCTGGGTGTGAGGATTCCAAACCATTACCAGAAAGTGAATTGAGCAATAGCTTCACTTTATAATTTTAAACTATGACTTTTTAATAAACTATCATCCAAAACACTTACGTTATTGGCTAGAGTATTCTTGAAATGTGTGCAAAATAAACAATAATTTATTTTCCTCTTTGCTGTTTTAAATAAATGTTTACTCAGTTAAGGATGTAAGTTTCAGGGTAAAATGTAGTTTGCCAAATTCCGTAATCCTTTATAAAAAAAATGTCATACAGGGTGTGGTGCATTTAGGGCACTTTGTAAAAGTTGCAGTTCATGGTGTTTTCTTTTTTTCTTCACTTTTTAACAAGTGCTAAGATACTCTAAACTCTGCAGGGAAGTTCTGGTTCCTATTATAAGCTCTTGGCTTTTCCCACTAGTAAAAGTCAGATTGTTCCCAGTTTTATTTATTTCCTACTCAAGTGTTTATATTCTTAACATTAAACATTATTAGATGTGAATTCTTGATAAGCACTACTTTTTTCTTCTTTTTGTTTAGAAAGGTGAAATTAATTTAGAAGAAACAATACAAATGAGACATGAAAATTAAGTTATATAGCCAATGGGTGGTAATTCAAATTTTCAGTGAATTCATTCTATTCTGGATACTTTTTTTTTTCTGTAATTAATTAAAGCAAGCCTTGATTCCACAGATAGAATTGTTCTTCATAAAAAATTCTCTGTAAATCTGGACAATACGATATAGAAATTTCTTTTTTTCCCTATTGCTAGGGAAAAAAAAAAAAAAAAAAAACCTCTTCCAATCACACAGAAACCCCATATTCAGAACATGAGATCGTTAAGGTTAAATGATCCAGGTTCTTTCCTGATTATCTCACATTTAATGACAATTCACTTACAAAATGTTAGCCTGAAAATGTGTATTATAAATGTCCACCAAAAAACCTAGAATCTCCCTAGTCATGCTCATACATGAATAAAAACAGAAGAATCTGAGATTGGGGTGTGTGTGAGAGGGTGTGAATAAAAGTTAAAATATGGTATAATTTCTCTTCTATCTACTTTCCTCCAATCCCCCTTGGATCTGATGTTTAACGGAGACAAATAAAGGGGGAACCCCAAGGTTTCCAGGAACCAGCAAGCGCTAATACTTTTTATTTATAAGCAGCTGAGGGAAAAACAGCTCCCCAAGCAGCCCAAGAAGCCGCTCCAGGCAGTCAGTCCTCTGAGCCTCGCAGTCCGGCCCGCCTGGGTACCACTCCTCAGGGCTCCCGCCCCATCCTCCTCCGCGCCGGGCTGCGGCGCGAGGTGAGCTTGGCCGCGGGGGCCGGGAGGAGACGCCCGCCCGCCCCAGGAGAGGAGGCGGCCCTGGCCTCGGAGCCGCCCTCCTGCAGCGGAGAACAAACGGGATATTCAGCAGTGGCCTGCGGCTGCCAGAACAACTCCTCGGGGGAAATTAAGCGTCGAGTCAGACGGCACAGTAATCGCCTTAAAAGCGCCCTTGCCCCGCCGGCCGCCGCTCACACCCGGCTACCTGGGCTGCCCCGCGGAGCCGCGCGCGCGGGAAAGCGAGGGGACCGAGCGAGTCCGGCGGAGCCGCCGCGCGCGCCGGCGGCTGTGAAGCGCTGCGAGGGTGCCGTGCGCGCGCCGCGGGGTGGAGCCCTGGGTTTCCACACCAGCCATGAGGCGCGCGAGCGCCTGGGCCCCGCTCTGCCTGCTGCTAGCCGCCGCCGCCGCCGCTCAGCCGTCCCGGCCGCAGCCCCCGGAGAGGTAACGCCACCCTCGCCCCGACCCCTCTCCCTGCACCCCTGCAGCCGCACTCGCGCGCGGTCCCCTCTCCCGGCTCTGCGGGACCCGGACGAGCCGGGACTAGCCGGCGTGCAGCCGTGCGCACCGCGGGGCTCGGGTGGGAGCTCCGCCCAGGGCCGCGCGCCGCGCTCCCCGAGGCTGCCACCGCGCCCCCCGCTCGCCGCGCTCCGCGCTGCCGCGGGCCGGGCCAACACGTGGCGGGCTCGGGCTGACTTGCCTCGCGGTTCTCGAAGGTTTGTGAGGGCGGAGGGGAAGTGTGGGTCCCAAAAACGTGAACTTCGGTTTACCGCTGGTTTTTCCCTTCAGAGCTTTGCCCAGAGACGCAAACTTAGGCGAAAACGAGTCGCGCGGCGCCCACGGAGCCCCTGCGGGCGTTCACGCTTAGCAGTTCTCTGGGGGACCTGAACTTGGGGCGCGCCCGAGGTCCACTTTTGGCATCACTTCCAACATGTTCATCTACATTAGCCTCCCTTTGGAGTGCGAGTTTCAGAAAAAGGGGAGGACTGGAACTAGGCACGTCTCCAAATCTGGGAATTTAAAAAATTTTTATATTACCCAGTTGTTGCCTATCTTTAAAACCATGTCTAAAATCCTCAGTTGGCCTCTCACCTTCTCTCCCACTCTCTCCAGTTAAATTGATACATTTATCATTTTCCTGCCAGACTAACATTATGTAAAGGACTTTATATATATATATATATATATATATATATATATATGCGCGCACACACACACAGAACCCGCCAAAAAATGCATACACACTTCAGGAAAAAAGAAAAAGTAAATATCTGGAAGTTAATGGCCACTGCTTTTATAATTGCAGAGGCAATTATAAATTATTTGGCGAAATATATATATATATATATATATATAAAATTATGGTAGCATCTAGAGACTTTTATTTAGCTATAATTTAAGTATTCAAGGAGCAACCCCAGCTGGCACAAGTGTTTATTAAATACTTTTAACTCCTATCCATGCCAATTTGTTACACCTTTCTGAAGTTGACACTGGATTATGAGATCATGTTCCAAATTAAGTATCCTTTCTTCTTTTATTTTCCCAGACCTGTTTTCAGATGTGGTGGCATTCATACTGGAGAATCTGGATTTATTGGCAGTGAAGGTTTTCCTGGAGTGTACCCTCCGAATAGTAAATGCACTTGGAAAATCACAGTAAGCATTTTTAAAGAGATTTTCCGGGAAGTGGATAGTGGGAATAGTGTGAGGCTGCTACCTTTAATCCTCCAGTGACAGAATTTGAATTAGACTCAAATACCTGAATAAATGAAATGTTGAATTTACTTCAAGTATTTGCAAGATTCTTATTAAGCGATATAGTGGTGTTCTGCATTCGCAATTAGAAAGGACTGAAGATAATACTTCAAGGAATAAATTCCTAAACCAGATGTGTTTCTGAAAACCCAACCAGACTCAGTTGAGTTTTATGGATTCATAATTAAGGCTGTTTTTACTCAAAGGCCTGTTGTAGAGACCTTTGGAAGTCAGTTGTTGCTCAGCCCTGCATAAATTCCTGGTGGGAAATAAAAGATCAAAGATAGTGCTTGGACTACTTTATACCCATTAGGAAAAGAATAAAAGAGGGAGGGAGAAAACGCCCCACTCCATATCCCTGGATAGAAACAACAGTTACATTTTGGGGTGGGGGGAAGCCATGGCAGGGGCTGATAAAATGCCCATGCTGGTTAGTAATAGTTACATTTTGTGGAGTCACAATAAGAAGCTGGATTTAGAAACAACTTTTTTTTTTTTTAAGTCTGAATTTAGTCACCTAGATTGACTCATTTTGGTGTAGAAAACAGTACTTCCAGTTAGTGTAGCAAACAGGAAGACTGCTGCCTTGATTTTTTTGTTATTGAGAAGGTGTTTGGTAATTGAATACGTTTCACTGAGAGCTTCATTTAACCACCTTCAGATTATATTTTAAAAAGTAGCTACCTCTAACCCAGCAAACTAGCATTTACTGTATCAAGTAGTCAACAAGCATCTCACTGACTTCTCAGACCCATTTGGAAAAAGTATTGGTGTCTTCATTTTATAAAAAGAGAAGCTGAGACCTAAAACAATGATATTGATTTGATCAACCTCAGCTTTATACAAAGTAATACCTGTTCTGCAATGAGACATTCCAACAACAAGGTCATTTGGCAGGCAGATCCGAGAGGTCCCACTCCACAATATAAAACTCAGCTCTTATATGTATCATTCTCCTATAAAATGTGAGCCATCTGATGAATTGGCACAGATTTCATATGTTGTTATAGCTAATAGAGCCAGGAGAGAATAATCTCTCCTTGTAGAAAATCTCTTTGAAATACTGAAATCTTTATATTAACGTAAATGTAAAATAATGCTCCAAGCATTCATAAAAGTAACTTGGGCTTCATATTATAGTTGTGTTTTAATTGTAATTAAATGGTTGCAGATTTAAAATGATCCAAGAACATTGTGGCTAAGAGGCATCAAGTCAAAACTTACGGTTGTCCATGTGTTTTGAGGATTGTAGGGCAGTGTTGGTGAGGCGTCAACTTTTGGGGGGTGTGTGTGTGTGTATGTTGGAGTTGTTTCCAAAAAATGCTTTGACAGAAAAGCAGTTTGGCTTAGCAGAAGCTGGGTTGCCTTATTCTATGGGTGCAGGAAAAGTGGATCCTCCATTGGGATGTAATGTGGAAATGAAGCCTGTGTATTTGTCACCAGAATCCTAAGCCAGAGCCTGACTCTGGAGCTCCTAACATACCAGATTTGACTGCTTACGACGTGGAGAATCCAGCCAGAGATGAGAGCTGTGAGCTGGTTAAGAAATTTATCCTAAGCTGTGTCTTCAGGATACTGATAGAAGCACCGGAACTGCATATGGAAAAGACAGAATCTGGGAACCAGAAGTGTACATGGTTAAGCAGACCTGGTCAAACTGTTCAGGTTGATCCTTAACTCAGGTCTAGTTCTGCAGAGTCCTGCTAGCTGTGGAGAAATTATTATTGCTTGGGAGGCAGTGTGGTTTCTTCATGATGTTCTGATCTGCCTGTAAGTCTTGCTGTTCTTGGAACCAGAAATAAATTGAGGATAAATGACTGATAGAAGTACAGGCCAGGGGAACAAAATGGAGTCAGTCAGCATAATGACAGGATCCTCTTTTAAATCCCCAATTTTAAATTGAGTGTGGTGACACGTGCTTGTAATCCCAGCACATGGGAGGCTGAGGTAGGAGAATTGCTGCTACTTCAAGGCCAGCCTGTGCTACAAAGTGAGTTTAGTCTGAACTGCATAGTGAAATCCTATCTCAAAAAGACCAAAAAAAAAAAAAAGAAAGAAAGAAAGAAAGAAAGAAAAAACAAGAAACAAACAAAAAGAAAAATCCCCAATTTTATTTATTTTTTTAATGGCTACCATAATGCCTCTTGTTATCTTCAAAAGAATTGCCTCTATCAGACATTATAAAATTGAACAAAATGGTACAGAACAACAACAATAAAAACAAAACATTGGAGACATATAGGACTTCAAAAGAAGATAATAGTCAAACCACAATGGATATTGTAGTGCATCTTATTGTTTTCAAAGTAGTTGCCTATACCATCAGACTTGATACTATCAAACAAAACAGAATAGAATAAAATCAGTCAAAACAAAACAGTGAAAGCAATGCAGGGCTCTAAATCAAGTTAATAGGAAATCAAAAATGGTTACTATAACATATTCTGCTGTCTTTGGAATAGCTGTCCATGCTATCAAATCTAATACAAGTAGACAAACTGAAACAGAATAAAACCAAACTAAATAGAAAATAAAACAATATGGGTTTTAAATTATGATAATAGCTTAACAGTGGCCACTGCCTTCCCTTTTTTGACAATTCCTCCCCTTTCATTTTCACAGGCTGTATTTTACATTTTGGAACCCACTAACACCTTTAGTTTTTATATTAGGGAGGCAACCTGCCATTCACTTAAGTTATTCTAAACCTTTCTACCCATAAGCATGATCTCAAGTAGTTTCCATTTATCTACAAGAACCTCAAGGTTTTCTTTGTTTATAGCTGAGTAGTTTTCCATTACATAAAAGTGTTGTGGCTTTCTAACCAATCTGCAGCTGATGGGAAAGATACCCCCACTTTTTGCTGGTTCCCTATCACATAGAGCATTGTTTTCTCATCTTTGACTTTCAGACTATAAACTCCCTTTCGAGTTATTGATGGACCCTATCTCCTGATCCACTCTGCCTGTGTTTTTTTTTTTTTTTATTGGTGAAATGAGGCCATCTATATTAGTGATTATGGCCAACGTTTTCTGCCTCATCTCTGCCTGCTATTTTTCTGTTGTCTACTTTTCCTCTTCATTCCAATGTCTGTCCCATTCAGTGAGCCCCTTCTGTTGCTATTCCTGAAACCATGATCTTTTTTCTCTCTAGAATGTCCTTCAGTATTTTTCATAGGGTTGAATTGGTGGTCATGAACTCCCCCAGTTCCTCTTTGTCATGTAATGTCGGTGTCGCTCCCGGCCGGCAGGAAGAACACGCAACAATATCTGGCGGTGGTCAGGCTTTTCTTTATTCTCTCCTTATACAGTCTGCCCCGAAGCCTCTACCGGTCCGCTCTCCGCGGCTCCTTCCATGCTTCTTCTCTACAGTCTGTCCCGAAGCCTCTACCGGTCCGCTCTCCGTGGCTCCTTCCGTGCTTCTTCTCTCGTGGCGGGAGAGGCACTCACTTTTATAGGGTTACAGTGGCCAATCAGTTCAAAGCGCGCGATGCGGGCTGATTGGCTAACATCAGTTGTTGCTAGGCAGACTACTTACAGAGCGGGTTGTTTACCAAGCAGGAAGCAGGAGATAAGCGCCATCTTAGCACACTCGATGGGAGGGGTAATCTAGCTCAGGCTTTGCTCTTCCTTACAGGCCTCACGTCCGCCAAGTAAGGCGACCGGGCTCGGCCGCGGCTCCCAACAATGTAAGCATTTCGTTTCTCCATTAATTTTGGGAGATAGTTTTGCAGGGTACATCAATCTGGGTTGGAGATTATTTTCTTTCAGGACTTGGAATATTTCACTCCAAGCTCTTGATTTGATGGTTTGTGTCAAGAAGTCTGTCATGATTCTGATGGGTTTGTCTTTATAAGTGACCTGTTTCTTTTCTCTGACGGCTTTTAATATTCTGTTCTAGTGTTGAATTTCTTGGATCTTGATTATTATATGTCTGGGTATAGATCTATTTTGGTTGTAGCTGGCTGGAGTTCTGTGAATACCTCACTTACCTGAATTTCATTAACTTTTCCTTTGCTTGGGAAATTTTAATTATTTCTGTAAATAGCCTTTATATTTCCTTTGTGTTTACCCCTGCTTCTCCATTCATATTTTTTATTCTTAAGTTATAGTTTCTCTTCTCATCTTCTAGCCTTTGTACTGTTACTTCCTGGTTCCTTGTTTTTAGGAGATCTTTCCTTTCACGATTGCTAGCTGCAAACCTGTCTTCAAGGTTTGATAGTCTATCTTTAGTTTCTTTCAAGCAGTATTGCCAGCAAATTCTTTTGTAGCCTCTTGAAGTTGTTTATTTCAGTTGCTGTTGCTTCAGAAACTTCAGGTGTACAACTCCCAATCTCTTCGTGTTTACAGCTCCTGGACCAGCACTGCTTGGGTTGGAGGCCAGAGACTGCCTTTTGCTTCTTTCTCTTGTCATGTCCCTGGTTTCTTCCAGAAAAGTGGGTAGTGGGGTCCCCAGTACTTCCTGCGTTGGCTACAATTTCTCTAAAGTGAGATCTTACTTTTTCTAGCCCATGCTGTCTAGGGATAGCTGATGGTGACAATTAGATGCATTGTTGTAGGGTTATTGGTGGCTGGTAGAGAGTAAGCAGGGGCGGGGCAGGCTGGTGCCTCCCTCAAAAGCTGTTTAACTCCCTCCCAAACTGGTATAGTACTTGCAGCTGAGGGAGTGCTGGTTGGGGATAGCGTTAGGGAAACTTCTGCAGTGGCTATTGGATTACGCACAGGGGCGAGACTCAGTCTAAGTAACTTCCGGAAGCCAGTTTGCTGCAAGCTAGGAGTGGCTCAATGAAACCAGCTGTAGTTCTGGCTCTGAGCTTATCCTGTCCAATCCCAAAATGGACCCCAGCCAATCACCCACTCTCAGGAGGACTGAGTCTCCCATACAGTGAAGTTCTCTGGTCC